CACTTCCACTCGTTCGCATCTTGCTCCCTCGCTCTTTTCCATTGTACCTGTGTGGTGCGCCTGTGTTACCGTTGCCTTCTCCCCCCGTCGATCAGCTGATCGTGCGCGTTTGTCAGGGAGTAAATGCGTGAGAGTTACAATTTACGACAATTCTAATAGGGTCGCTCACAGTATAAAATGCACTCAGCTGACCTCCTCAAAGCAAACATATGTATATGTGTGTGTGCATACGCAGCGAAGAGGGAAAAACAAATTACGATAAGGACCAGTTTTCCTTCCTTGTTAGTTTGTCATGTTCTCTGCTTTTAAGAGCTTATTAAAGTGGATACCGTTTTATAAACATTAATTTATAATGTATTGCAAAAAAAATTAACTTTAACAATATAAGAGGAAAAACGTAAACTTTTCATTTTTAAAGACTTCTGGCACTCTTGTTTAACAAATGCGTAACAAACATACATTTTTGTAGTTAGTGAAATTATAATGGAGTTTTAAAGTCGGAATGGTCGGCTTCGGATGACCAATTAAAATGAATGTTAAAGAAAAAGTGGTGCTTTTGAACATTACATATTAATCAGGGGTGGTTCTCAGGGGCAATAATTTGTTTAGTAGACTTTTTTGACGTAATATGTTTAATATACAATATTTTTGGTAACTTAATTTATAGACAGCTGCTAGTGTTCAATATCTCAAGTTAAAACGGTTCTAAGACGGTTTATGACTTTCGAGAAATTCTAACAAATTCATTTTTTAGAACTTGCCATTAGGCATTATAAAAAAATTAGGACCGCACTATTAAATAGAAAGGTTAAAAAAATTCTTTCTTTAACTCTACAAATTAAAACGATTTATTATTCGAATTTGTGTAAATTGATTTGGCTCTACTAGGAATAGACGATCTGTCTAAATGTATCTCTAATCTCTATATTGTTTTTAAGATAATAAATGTACATAATAATAGTATATATAGGATATTACCTCTGCAGATGTAGCGGCAGCATATAATTCACAGCAAATAAATGCAAGCGCAAATCAATTAAAATTGTGGGCATGTGCATGAGTTTTCAAAATAAAAACCTGTAACAGCAAATAATAAATATGCATGGATGCCACTACTCGCTCTCTCGGTCAAACATACACACGCTTATGCAAGTGCAGTAGCAATGTAGCTGAGTGAGTAAATGAGAGGAACTCCGAAAGAGAATGCGAAATGAGGCCACGGTTACTGACGAATTTGGGACAGACAGCGGAGAACGACGAAAAAGAAGAGCCAGACGCCCCCCAACTTTCGTTTACCGATAACAACAGATATCGTTCAAATAAATATCCACTTCTGATTACTTATACCCTATTATCACAGATTCTCTTCTATTAGCAGATCGATTAGGAGGATGGTTTCCAATGCCCTACTACCACACAAACACATCCATTATACACTATCAATTTGGTATACCCTTGCAGAGGATATTATAATTTCAGTCAAAAGTTTGTAACGCAGTGAAGAAGACATTTCCGACCCTATAATGTATATATATTCTTGATCAGCCATAATGTATATATATTCTTGGTCAGCTATAATGTATATATAATATATTCTTGATCAGCCTCACCAGTAGAGACGATCTAGCCATGTCCGTTTAGTTGTTTTTTATTTTTTGTTCTTTGTGATTTGGTAATACTACTTAAAAACTATGGAATTACGGTTTTAATTAATGTAAAATCGGACAGCTATATCAGATATATATATTTCCCATAGAAAAATCAAAAATTAAAAAAAAAATTTTAATTTTATTTTGCTAATTTTCTATTTATAAAAATTTTACTTTGAGATGTAGTAATTATTTACTATATCAGAATTACGCTTTTAGTTTTGTCAAAATCGGACAACAATATCATATAGCTGCCAAAGGAACGATTCCAAAATGCAACGCCAAATCGACGTATGTACACTACTGGCCAAAATAATAAGTACATAGGTAAATGTATCATTTCTTGAGACATAGCTCGAAAGCTATCGAATGGAGGGCTGCTAGTTGATTATATTTTGAAAGGTTATTGTGTTGTAAAACATTTAAATCAAAAATGAAAATGGGGAACCCCATTTATCTAGTGCTAAGCCTAAATTTGTTCTGGATGGTCGTTTTTGGTCTGGTCAAAATAATAAGTACACTTCCATTATTCACAAATTTGAAAGGATTACGTTTAGAATTGGACTACGGTATGTTGATTTTTAATGATTTCTTGCATTTTAAGTATATTCGGGTTACAAAAAATTCTTTAGATGGGCCGAAAAAAGCATTGTACCCTGGAAGAAAAGAAGATTGCCTTGAATCTTCAACAAGAAGGAAAAAGTCTACGAGAACTTGCGACCAGCCCTGGACGCTCGGTGTGTTTTATTCAGAATGCCTTAAAATCGAAAGATCCTTCCGAAAAACGAGGAAGGAAGAAGAAATCTTCCCAAACGACGGACACCCGCATCGTCAGTCTGGCAAAAAAGGATCCCTTTATGTCTTCCAAGTCCACTGCCGCTGAAATCGGCAATGCAATATCATCTCGAAAGGTTCGGTGCAGACTTAAAAGTGCCGGCCTAACAGGACATATAGCCAGAAAACTTCCTTTACTTCGGAAAAAAATTTACAGATGAGGCGCCAGTTTGCACAAAATCATTTGGCATGGTCTGGACCAGAAGGTTCTAAAAAAAGGAACAATGTGTTATGGAGCGACGAATCAAAAATAAACCTTTTTGGTAACGACTCTAGACGTTATGTACGACACCCAAAAGGTAAAGAATTCGACCCCCGGTACACAAAGAAGACCGTTAAGCACGGAGGCGGATGCATAATGGTTTGGGGCTATTTTTCTTGGCATGGCGTTGGTTCGATACATCGCATAGCTGATATTATGACCCGATTTGGGTATAAAAGTATACTCGCTAACGTTATGCTACCATATTCTGAGGAAAACATGACTTTGAGATGGGTCTTTCAACAAGACAACGACCCAAAACTCACCTCAAAGCTGGTCAAGGCTTGGTTTACCGAAAACGAAGTAAATCTTATGAGTTGGCCAAGCCAGTCTCCGGACTTAAATCCGATTGAGAGCCTATGGGAACACTTAAAACTTCGTATCGGCACAAATACTTTTCGAAATGCCGCAGAATTGTGGACATTTGTCCAAAAAACCTGGTATGACATTCCAATGGATACTAGTAGCAAGCTTATTGCTAGTATGCCAAAACGAATCGCCAAAGTTGTACAAAAAAAGGGTGGCTATACTGGATACTAGTTACAGATTAAGAAAATCAAGGAAATGTTGAAAAATTGTTGTTAAGTTTTGAGTTTTTGAGTTTGTAGAATTGGTGTACTTATTATTTTGACCAACCCATTTTTATGTTTTTTAGATATAATCAACCACAAACTTTATAAATGAATTGAAAAATGCCTATGCTAACTATTTTTATAATCTAATATATATCAAAAAGCTATAAGTAAATTTAAGCTTTTCTTTATGACCATTAAAGAAGTTTTACGAGAAGTTAAAGAAACCGTACAAGGGTGTACTTATTATTTTGGCCAGTAGTGTATGTAGCTTCATTGTTTTTAGTAATATAGGCTTAGAAATGAAAATGTAGTAGTTTTGTAATAACTGCAGGGGTATATAAACATCGGCTTGCCTTCTTGTTTAGATAAGATTTTGTCATTTCAACAGTTTCTTCATCCATCTGGAATATTTTAAAGAGATAAACACAAAAATATAGATTTGCTTTTTTTTTTTAAGAAGATAAGGATTTTCACTATAACAACTATTAACGACCACTTTGAAAGATAATATATGACCCGTATACCATTTTTATACATTTTGAGTCCAACTGAATTTACTAAAAACAATGTGTGCTTCAGGGTAACAAAATTCGCGGTGAATTTTTATACCCTTGCAGAGAGTATTATAATTTTGGTCAGAAGTTTGTAACGCAGTGAAGGAGACGTTTCCGACCCTATAAAGTATATATATTCTTGATCAGGATCAATAGGGGAGTCGATATAGCCATGTCCGTCTGTCCGTCCGTCCGTCTGTCCGTCAGTTTCAATACCGTTTGCGAGCTCAGTTTAAAAGCTAGCGATCTGAAACTTTCACAGTCGTCCTAAAACAAGTGTACGCAGATCAAGTTTGAAAACCGCCCCGATCGGATGTCTATATCCTATAGCTCCCATAGGAACAATCGGATATAACTTGCAAGAATGGAAGATATTTCGCGCAGTGTAAAAGCTATTGACATAAATCTTTCCAAATCTTATTTTTTTATGCGTACCTTGATCAGAGTAAAAGCGCGTGACGATCGGACGTCTATATCCTATAGCTCCCATAGGAACAAAAGGGTAAAATCGGTTAAAATTTAATGATTTTTAGGATATTTCACGCAGTATACAAGCTATTGACATGAATCTTTCCAAATCCTATTTTTTTATGCATACATTGATCAAGGTGAAAGCGCGTGCCGATCGGACGTCTATATCCTATAGCTCCCATAGGAACAATAGGGTGAAATCGGTCCAAATTTGATGATTATCAGAATATTTCGCGCAGTGTGTAAGCTACTAACATAAAATTTTCCAATTCTTATTTATTTACGCATATCTTGATTAGGGTAAAAGCGCTTGCCGCTCGGAAGTCTATATCTTAAAGGAGATAGGAAAAATTGTTAAAGGCTGCGAAAGTATCCCTTTTGTATATGACATTTTTGCAGTATAAAAGCAATTGACTTGAAACGATGCAAATCTAGTTTACTTATGTATACCTTATTCCTTTCGCTACTTTTTCACTTTTAGCAATTTCGTCAAAGTCTGCAAGGGTATTAAAACTTCGGCTTGCCGAAGTTAGCTTCCGTCCTCGTTTATGATAAAAAGAAACAATCAGATAAAACCCAGTAACTGGTCAAACAGATAGCGAAACCAAATCTCAACATTAGGATGTAATTTACCAAGAGGAGAAAAATTAATTAATTTTCACTTAGCATCAGGACACATTTATTTCATGGTAATAACTCAAATTCAAAACTGATCTTTAGCTAAACACAAACAGCGGGCAGAATGGAGTGCAGTACTACATCCTGTCGCACATCGATCTGCATATGGATGGAATGGTCTCGATCTATCCCAATGGTCAGTTCGTCATTGGACACTTGCAGAGATCCGAAGAAGGCAGAGGCTTTCCTTGAATCCACGCAGCATGATGCCTCCTGCTGGGAAGCTTCCAGAGATCGTAGCAATAGTTTCTGAAAACGACTGGTCACAGTGGACATTTCAGAAGTAGCTATAACATTGAGCTCTCCATCAATGTTGACCTGGAATTCCAGGCTAGGAGATACATTTTTTAGTTTATCGATGAGACTTCGAAGCAATCTCAAAGTTGGCAAACTCAGAACCAATTGCGAGTTTGGAACTTTTGGAACGACATAAGCAGGCCAATCGCTGGCCGGTATTATGCTCACTGGAACATCGTGTACCACTTCTCGGGCTTCTGTAGAAGAAGACAAGAGCACGGTGGCTATTACGGAAATGCACGGAAACTGAATTCTTTGCAGCTTAAATTTGCAGTTGTTAGTGCCTACATTCCGGAGCACAGATAAAGCTCTTCCGAGACTCGCCGAAGACATGCTCAGAACTATAAATTCATGTTCCGGAAGGGCTGCTTCCATGCGATACTCTGGAAAGTACTCCTCGGCTGCAATGCTGGCCCAAACCAATGGTGATGCAGTGGAGCTTTGATCCTCGTTCACGATGAAGTGCATCTGCCGAGGGCCCAGGATCATCACGCAATCCTTTGCCAGTTTGGCCAATGTGGCCACAATAGCCTGAAATTCTCGCATGTACTGCGGGTCCTGCATTAGGGCTCGGAACTTCATTTCCCCAGCTCAGATCTGAGCGATACCAGGAGCAGAATCCACACGAAATAAAAAGGGAAAGAACAAAACAAAAACAAGAATCAAATACGGCCGCCAATAACTTAATTTGCAGCAAAAACTACAACAACTATCTGGGTTTGCCTTATATCTTAATTTTATTAATATATTGAACTTTTAGACAATATTTTCAAAATCGAATAATATAAAACTTCATCCAATATTCAATTTTGTACTCAGAGTAAATCATTAGATAATCAATATTATTTATTTTACGCGAGCATAGTAATTTGTTTACCGTAGGAGTAAGTAATCAGCAACTACGTTATTTTTTTGGGAAATAGTGGAGATGGCAATTGTTTAATTTAGGAAAGGACTTGGCCAAAACATAATACATTTTGTTATAGCCGCTGGGCATCTGTGAGTCAGATTAGTGGCTTTTTAAAACAAAAAACCAACTTGATTGAAGAAACTTCAGACCCTTCGAGGGGTTAATGAGGTGTGTGGGCCTAGGGCTAAAAGGGGGGAGGGAGCTCTTGTCTCGTTCCCGACTTGCTCTTACATTTTTATTTTTTTTTCTTCTCGGACTCGAATTTGAGTTCAATGTACAAAGGCACACAGGCACTCTCAAAAGCAAACGAACTTACACACAGCACACTCGCTCATCAATAGCACACAGCGAAAGAAAAAGAGAGAGGAAGGAAGGTGAAAAGGAGAAGAGTCAGGCAAACAAAGCGCAGAGCGAGTTCCGAGTTGTGTTTTGGCTCTTCTTTTTATTTATTTATTTTTATTTTTGATGGTGGGGCGAAACGGTGAGCAAAGAGAAGGCTATACGAAATGAAGCACGCCGTCAGATACAAAAACTGTGCTTCTCCTTGCACACAAAGTCGTCAAAAGGCAGACAGGATTTGGATAGCCTCCGAGTGTAGGGGAGATTCCAGGAGCGCGGGTTGCAGCGGGGACCTCGGCGGCGGAAATCAAATTAAATGCCCGTCTAGGGGGTCAAAATATTTCCTTTTCGAAGTTCGATCAACCTTCAAGGTTAGCTGGGCGTTATCAGGCGCTCAATTGCAATTGATAACGAGGACGTTTATGTACGTCTGTGTATAGCAAGAGCAGTGTGTCCATTTAAGAAACATGGTACCTCAACAAATTAAAAATCCCATAACGAAAATAAAGTTAATAGCTGTATTCATTTGAATATATACTTTTCTTCGTGCAGACGGATATGGTTAGAAATGAACCTTTTCCATTTGTATTGGCACATTGTTTGCATTGTAAGATGTTTTAATAAAAGTTATTTTTCCAATAACTTTTTTTGACTACTGGAACAACTGGAAACGACGACGTTTTTCCGTTTTCATTAATTAACCGTTCTGAGTGGGCAGTGTATGTACACTATTTCACGATTATAAGCCAGGCCCCGCATAATCACATAGAAAGACGTAAAAGGGCAGCACTGTATCTGAGAAGGCAGTGCTGCCCATTCGGCAACAGCTGTTTTTTTTCTTCTTTAAAATTGACCTATGACGTCACATTATCACGGACTATTTCACAAATAAGCGAAACCACAAACGCTTCAGATCTAGAAGTTTACTTTATGGCACGATGTTTTGTTGCGTTACTTGCAAAAACCTTCGCATCATTGCAACGTGAACAAATTTATATTAAAAATAAAAACAAATGCAGGTGGTGGGGTGGGGAAAGAAAAGCACATTAAAACGCTGACAAGAGCCCAACAAATTAAACAGAATATAAAAATGCTGAGAATAAGAAACGTGATTGATTTGCTATCTCTCTCACGCCGACAAACACACACTCCTATGCAGATGGAGCACCACCCGCTGAAGTTTGCAGCATAAATAAAAGAGAAAGTAAAACTTAACAAGATGCGCTCTTTCCCCGCCCCTTCCCTTATCAAAAGAATTGAAAATACCAATTCGAAGTAGAATAACACACACGCAACACACACATGATTGAATACCCTACGCGAAAAGCCACGGCTCTTTAGTTTATTTTAAATATGTATACTCTTTCTTTATATAAAACCCCAGAAAATCCTTTCCATCTTGATGTAATTGATGCACTCTATGGATATAAGCTTTTCATTGTACATTTTCCTGAAAAATGGATGAGACTTCTCGGCAGCCATTGTAAAAATCAATATTACCCGATTGCCCACACAAAAAAACGCACTCAAACCCAATTGCCCTTCAATTCGAATATTCTTGGGGGTAAATCACTATTTAATCACGCTTTTCCGAGCCTTAAGTAAGCACAAACCTTTTACAGATCGGTCAGAAAAAGTAATACAGGAAAAGGCAAATGGTCGACATTTTGTTTTCCGTCTCGCTGCTGCCTATTTGAAACGTAAGACGGTGTGAGTGCGCGTATGTGTATCTCGTCTGAACTCGGAGCCCCGAAAAATCCGTGGTCAAATCACTTTAGCGCAACGCCCTGTGCTCGCTTTATGTAATGTCTTTTATTGTCATTTGCGTTTGCTGCAATCGCACTTACCTTTAAACTAATTGCAGGAGTTTTCTCTCAATTTGCACAGTTTTTTTTACACTCAGCAGTTTTCACACGCGACGGAACAACAATGCGCACCAGTGTGACCGCGGCTCGCAACGTTAAATCCTAAAGCGTTGCTCTAGCGACATCGAATAAATTGAACGACTGATTTATCGATAAGACGAATAGTTTTCGCATGGAACGCTTTTTATACTGCAACGAGATTCCTATCGATATCGATTAAAACTCCATAGCTCCGAATTCGCTTTCCCACTAGACAAACAAATTTAACAATCTTCAATACAGGCACTTTTTGCACACAATAGTTCCCTATTCTAGTCTTGTGTAAGAAAAAACAAAGACCCTAGTTGGCGCTTAATAATGGAAACACCAAATGCCCGTTTACACCGGCATAACACTATAACTCAAAATACTAATCATCACTATTGAACTTTATTTTAAAACGTTTTTGGGATCATCCAGATTCTTTAAAAAATAATTTTCCAAAATTTCTTTTCGTTTATACTTATTTGTACACCTCTAAATTTATTTATAGATCTTATATCGGTCTAATGATCCAGTAATGTCGTAGTTCCTCTGGAGTCCACACATACATATCTCGCATGTTATTATTAAATTGCTTAAAAATAATTTATTTATGAATTTTAAGCAGGCTCTAACCCTAATCGCTTTGCTAATTAAACACTCATTATTAACGGTTTCCTACTGAGTTTGTGAACGGCTGTTCGGGTAGTCCAGAGTTAGTGGTAATGGTTAATAAAATTTAATTATTACACAATAATTAATACACTAAAAAAAACGGTGATTTTATAAGCACTAAAAACAAATTTTGTTGGACATTAAAGTGAATAACATGGATTCAAATCATTCCCGCAGTATTTCCTCTTCAAAAAACTTCTGAAAACCGGATGATGCGTGAAAAATATAACATTGTGGCAGTGCCCAAATACAAAATATAGGATTTACACTGAGAGAATATGAACAGATGGTTGAATATAGGTCGTGAAAATACTATGTGCGCCTAGGTCATGTCCTGCACATATGTATATATGGTGATAAATATGGTCGAGTCGAATCCAGCTATTACTCAGCTGGCATCATTTTGTCCAACCGTAAGCATCTACCACTGGCGATAGTACCATCTCTAGTTTGCCAGCTCGGTTTTTATTTACTTTTCTGTGCGGCCCATTTCGTCAAAAAAACAAATAATAATACAAGCGAAAAAGATTAAATTATACGTTGAATTTTTACATAAATAGTTTTTAATTTAGAAAAAGCACTCTGGCACCTATATAAAACTTCATTTAAAGCTTGGAGATTGAAACACTCATCCAACCAGCGGCATTAAACTTCTTATCACCGAAATCGACGAGCCCAAAAACAACAACAACAAAAAACGATAGCGGAACAAGGTGAGTAAACAATAAACTTAATAAAAGTCAAACTGAGTTACTCACTCGCCTTCGTCGATTGCAGTGGTTGGACTGCGGAATCGGAATTTCTGTGTGCGGAGAAAGTCTCGAGAACAGTGAGGCCTGACGTGTCGCTCGATTACCGGGTGATAGAAGAACGGAACAGAAACGGAGCAGTGATGTGTGGCAATCCGGCAGTGGGAAACGGGGCGAGGGCGCTGATTCTGGTTGGCGGCTATGGCACCAGGCTGCGACCCTTGACCCTCAGCACGCCCAAGCCCCTGGTGGAGTTCGCCAATAAGCCGATTCTGCTCCATCAATTGGAGGCACTCGTGGACGCGGGATGTCGACAGGTGAGTTAAAACCTTTTTAAACCTCTAGAGGTTACTATGTTAAATCGGTTAAGGAAAAATACAAAAAATATCCTGTTTTTCCTACACCACTGTTAAATTCGACTTTTCCTATTTTCTTTGTCTTAAATCAGGGAAATAGCTCTGGTATTGGGGAATAATTTATTATTTTTCATATTTTCTTTAAAAACGATGCCGGGGAATACGACCAACGTTCATATTATGCTTTTTAATTACAGGTTATTTTAGCCGTTAGCTATCGGGCTGAGCAAATGGAAAAAGAGCTGAAAGTGGAGGCTGATAAGCTGGGCGTGGAACTGATCTTCTCTCATGAAACAGAACCCCTGGGAACAGCAGGACCCTTAGCTCTGGCAAAGACCATTCTAGCTGCCAGTTCGGAGCCATTTTTCGTGCTCAACTCGGACGTCATCTGCGATTTTCCGTTCAAGCAATTAGTGCAGTTTCACCGTAATCACGGGAAAGAGGGCACCATTGTGGTCACGAAGGTCGAAGAACCCTCAAAATACGGTGTTGTGCTGTACGATGAGAACGGTTGTATCAAAAACTTCATTGAGAAGCCGCAGGAGTTTGTAAGCAACAAGATCAATGCCGGAATCTATATCTTTAATCCCTCCGTCCTTGACCGGATCGAAGTTAAACCCACATCAATTGAGAAGGAGGTATTTCCGGCAATGGCCCAGCAGCAGGAGTTGTTTGCCATGGATCTAACTGGATTCTGGATGGATATTGGGCAACCCAAAGACTTCCTTACCGGTACGACCGACTGAATCACACTCTCGCTCAATCGTGATTGCCTAATTGGTCTTATCGCTCTGAAGGCAGCCCAAATGTTGTCTTTAATTGTCGTTTGATTTTTTTTGTCTTCCCGGTTTTTTGCCTTATCTATTTTTGAGTTTCCTGGAACTAAGGCTAAATATTTGATAGAACGATTTCTGTTTAACTGAAGTGAAGCTCATTAGGCTGATAGTGGCGAAGCCTAAATAGGAGAGGAAATGGCTTTTTGGGTTCATGCGAAAGTAATTCGATTAATTTAATTGAAATCCTACTAAAAACATTTAAAACAAGAAAGGAAAGCTAACTTCGGGCGGGGCCGAAGTTGATATACCCTTATTCTGTAAACTATATTCTACAAAATTATTCAATTATGCAAACCGATAGAAAATCCCAACTTCCTAACTTTACAAACACCAAAGTTATGACATTTCCGATCAATCAGTTATATATATAGGATAAAGTCGGCCGATCCTTATGAAATTTGGCAGGTCGGATTGATTAGCCAAATATATAGGATATAGTCGGCCGATACCGGCCGTTCCGACTTATATACAGCGTGCAAAGAAACGAAAGATGTGTGGAACGTTTCAATTCGATATCTTTAAAACTGAGAGTCTAGATCGCGTAGAAACAGACAGACGGACAAACGGACATGCTTATATCAACCCAGGACGCGATAAATACTTTATAGGGTCGGAGATGTCTCCTTCACTGCGTTGCACACTTTTGACCAAAAGGGTATAACAATAAGAGATGTTAGGGAAAAAATTCATCCTAGCAAAGAATCAACAATTTTCTGTCTTTACATCTAAATCTCGAAACCTTTGAAGCAAAATGTTTTTTTTTTCCATTTTTTGGACCTTTTCCACTCCCGCAAATTTAATGTGTTTCTATTCTTTTTACAGGCATGTGTCTGTATCTAAGCTCGCTGCGCCAAAAGCAATCCAACAAGCTGTACACTGGACCTGGAGTGGTGGGCAACGTTTTGGTGGATCCCACGGCCAAAATTGGCGAAGGATGTCGCATCGGACCCAATGTGACCATCGGACCGGATGTGGTTATCGAGGATGGGGTGTGCATCAAGCGCTCGACCATTCTAAAGGGCGCCATTGTTCGTTCTCACTCGTGGCTAGATTCCTGCATCGTCGGTTGGCGATCTACCGTGGGTCGTTGGGTTCGCATCGAAGGCATCACGGTGCTGGGCGAAGATGTTATAGTCAAGGATGAGCTCTACGTGAATGGCGGCCAAGTCCTGCCCCATAAAAGCATTGCAGCCAGTGTCCCAGAACCGCAGATCATAATGTGAGCCGGTGGCCAGGACCAATTAGTGTAAATACAATCTAGTTCTGCTCAGTTCCGCCGTTTCGGTATTCTATAAAGGTGCCTTCTCACCTAAGATTTGCAATATTCACACAAAAAGGAAACGAGAAACATTTCCAACAGTTAGCTTTGCTATCTATTTATAAAATTAACTAGAGCTAAATTTTCTTCTTTGACAAAGGCGGAAAATAATACTTATAGTCTGATCATTAATAATCAGCTGAACCTTTTTGTACTGTAATAAGGAAAGCATAAGTTTTATTATTAAAATTCGATACGTTAGAAAATATACGTACGCATGTGCAAAAATACCCAAAAACGGGTTTTAATTGAAACAAAGAAAACAAGTGTACATATGTATAAAATTGGAGCTATCAACAATTTTACTCTTGCTTTACTTTATCATCTAGTTAAACTTTTATTCCTGAAAATTGTAATGTAAACTTTTGGCCTTTGATATTATTAGTGGGTTCGAGGAAACTGATAAAGGCTTTATTAAATTATACATTTTTTTTTACATAAACTCAGTATAAAAGATAGTTCAGTTTTAATTAATAATATGAATAATTTCTTTTTAGGTACCTGTTTTTTCTGAAATACATACCTTTAGCCTTAATTTAAAGATCAAATAGCAATTGTAATCCAACAAAAATATATTTTTAAAAAAGGCAGAACAGCTGATTGACAGATCACTGCTGGTGCAACAATGAATGTAAAACTGTAATGCCCATATGGGGCATCAAATCCAGGGATGCACGACCTATCGACTTAATACCATATCGATAGAAAACTTCGCCAATACGTTATTTTAAAATTTGGATTGATTTGCACCAACTGCCCATTTTTGCCTTATCTTGAGGTTACTAAAATATCACCTTGGTGCGTTTCGAACGATCCATAATGGTCACAAGTATTTTCGGATCTTATGTTATTAAAAATCTGTGGAAGAAAAAAACAAAATATATAAAATGTAAAGTTTTTTCCCAAAAATCGGAGTCTCGGAGTGTATAAAGATATAAATTTGTTATTACTTTATTTGTTTCAAATATTGGTTTTGGTGAACGTCTATAAAGAAAACAATCGAAAGTACTTAAGGTTGCTAGGCAACTGATGGATTTGAAGCAGTAGAGTCCGAACTCATAGCAAAGGCGATACTTTTTGTAAAAAAATGTTAAAGTCCCTGGCTCCGATTGAAGGAAACCAACAGCCGCAACTTCAGTTGCTCTGGGAGGACAAGGATGTGAAATTCGATGTCCCGCAATTGTAAGTAAATGGATATCCCATAGGATTTACTGTGCTCAATGTTATATTTCAGGCACAAGAACTTACGCAGCGGAGAACGAGTGCTGGACTACATCTACCACATCGAAGACAGCAAGGGAAATCCGGGGGACACGGGTCGTCTGATGGTCACCAATCTGCGGATTATTTGGCATTCGCTGGTCCACAAGAAGTATAATCTGTGTACGTCCTTCAGAAGGTCGTACCCATTTCATGCCACAACTGACCACTGACTTCCCTTTTTAGCCATCGGGTATGCACGGGTGTGCAACACCAGCACGCGAATAGTGCACATGCACTCCAAGGCCAGAATAGCTAGTCAGGCTCTCTACATCCTGGCCATCAGCAACGAGACCCGCTTTGAGTTCCTTTTTACCGACGTGTCCGGGGAAACTTCACGCCGGGATCAGCCCATATTCGCCAGCGTCTTTGATGTGTATCAGTGAGGGCATCGCCAGCAGAATTGTTTGGAGATCCACTAATGGTCCATATCTTTTCCAGCCTATACCAACGTACCTATCTCTACCGCGACCTGAAGCTGCGCGGAGCCATCGTTCAGTCTGGTCAACTGGTTATTCTGCCAGATGAGCAGGTCTACAGCCAGGTGCAGGGAGTCTGGAACTTGTCCAGCGACCAGGGCAACCTCGGCAGCTTTGTGGTGTCCAACATTCGACTGGTGTGGTTTGCAGACGCCAACGAGACTTTCAACATCAGTTTGCCCTATCTACAAATTGAAAGTGTAAGCAATTACACGTTTAAAGTGTATTTTTAAAGTGTGCTTTAAAATTTCACCTGAATAGCTTTAAAACTGGTGATCTTGGTCAGGACTATATAGGCTTATGACTATTTCACTGCGTTGCTAACTTATGTTAATAATATTTAAATATCTTCTCTAAAATATTTAACAGTATAATAATATTTTTCTGAATGTATTAAGATTACAAAACCAAGATATTTAATTTTTAATTAATGTTCTTCAGTCTAGCTGGAATAAATTAGCATCTTCTGATTACAGCTCCGCGTCCGCGAATCCAAATACGGACCTGCCTTGGTCATTCAAACGGCCGAAACAGGAGGCGGATATGTGCTCGGATTTCGGGTCGATCCCGCCGAGCGCCTGAACGAGCTCTTCAAGGAGCTCTGCTCGCTGCACATGATCTATGGCGAGCAGCCCAACTTCGGCATCCAGTACAACGCTCAGGATGCCCGGCAGCGACTGGCAGCGGCCGCTGAGGAAGCCGCCCAGTCGTCCCAGTTTAAGGTCGATAACTTTGAGGAGCTGGACGAGCGGCAGGAGCGCGAGATCAACACCAAACTGAATAGCTACCTCGCCGAAGGCTGTTTGGGAAAGGTCCCAAGTGGGTCCAGGTCCAGCCAGGAGGAAAGAGATCCGGTTTACTGCAAGGAGCTGGGCTTCGCCATGGAGCAAATTAGGGATGGCTACAAATTACAGGATTTGTGGAACGTCATGCCCACCAAAATGGAAACGATGGAATGAAATGGAGAAGCAGTTCAGTTTGGTAATAATCTCCAAATTTGCATTGTATACAGGGGTTTTTAATATTATTTGATTATGCAAACTCATTAAAATGTTTTACTATTGTGTGAATTCTTTTATCTTACATAAAGGTTTTGAAACCTTTAATAATTTTAAATTAATTTACAGTTTAGCTGTAAAAAATATGTTTTAAGTGGCAAAGCTTGAAGTTAATTTTTTTTCAGAGCCCTACAGTCAATAAATTACCAAATGTTTAATTTATTTATAGTTATTTTTTATTGACGCATACAACTCGCTGTGTGTTTAAGTAATTTTGCTTTCGTTTGGAATCGCTCGAAATTGTCTTTAGCTTAGGGCTAAATTTAAACATTTTTGTGTTCCGCAAATTTGAATTTTGTTCTACTTCTTAATGATATCAAAGGTTTAAATTGATTTTTGAGTTTTTCGGTGTTGTCTGGGTCAAGCAAGGAATTTAAATGGCCTTCGCTTGGTTTTATAAATTAGTTCATATCACAACACACAGTTGATTTGACCGGCATGTTTTTAATATAGATTTCTATATTTTTATATCATTGCTGTTCTTACAGATAGGTCGTAAGTTTAGATAAAGATAGTATTACATATATATATTTTTACTTGTATGAATGAATTGTTTACCTTTTCTCTAAGCTATAAATTCTAACAAACTTAATTAAAGTAGGAAAATTAATTGTAGTTGTGGCGTTTTCTCTCTCATCCTGTTCTTCCCATACATACTTAATAACCTGCCTCAAAGGCAAGCACATTAACTAAATTGAACCAAAACTTTTGAACCATGTTTGTACATCCATCTCAATGAAACACATACTAATTACCATAAAATTACAGTGACAAAATTTTTTTGTTTAAATATCAGGAATGACTTAAAATTTACAATTTTCTTTTTACATTTAATACTTTCTGCTTAATGATTTGTTGTATGAGGGCTAAACAAAAATTTTCATTTTGAATATATCAGTTTGTATCATATATTATTCGTAGCGGGTGCTTTTTGTTATATCAGTCTTGAAGACCAAGCCAGAATTCTGTAAATCAATATCCCAAAACAGGTGAATTTGGCATATTGAAACCCGAGGACTCAAGCATTTCGGACAAATTCAGATTGCACAAATCAAACGAAACGAGTTAAACTACGTGTACTTTACATTGTTACTGGCTTATCAAACAATTCCATTTACGGTAAAGAAAAGACGCAACACGTACACATAAACAGTAACTAGAACCAAAAGACTTAGAACTTAGCGAGTTCCCTACGCAACTTTTTCTTATTGTTGATTTTTGTTTTTCTTGTATCTGCCATATCGGCTTACGTTCCAATGAGCGAGCATCTAAGTTCCCTGGAGCTTAGTTGCTGGCGGAGATCTGCTTACGGGCCCGCTGACGTGTCATAGGCGGTGAGGGACGCGCTGCAGACAAAGCTGCGGATTCACGACTGCGTTTGGCAGCTCCTCTTTCAGTGGCTGCCTTGCGCTTGGTTGCGCTTTTTTTGGCTGCTACGGATAGATCAGCTGGAGAGGCAGATGTTGCTGTGAGTGGGGTGGCTACCACCGAAGCTCCACGACTGCGTTTGGCAACTTCACTTCTAGAGGATGCCTTGCGCTTAGTTGGAGCTTTTACAGCAGCGGGAGATTTTATTGGATCCGGTGGCGTGGGGGCAGTGATCGATGCTCCACGAATGCGCTTGGTTCCTCCACCTCCTCCCGCTGCTTTGCGCTTGGCAGGAGGTTTGACTTCAGTTCCCACGTCCGCTGAAGAGGTGGATTCCGTATCTAGCGCCTTGCGTCGTCTTTTGGCCGTCAGCATGGGAGCACGACGTCGACGCTTTGGCCTCGGGTTGGTAATGGCCTGGGCAGAGCCTGAGGTGTGTGTGTTGAGGGAGCGGGATCTGCTCCTGCTGTTAGTGGTGGTGGTGGCGGTAATGGCGGTGTTGGTGGTTTCTATATAGGGCATCGGGACGAAGGCCGAGCCTTCAGTTGTTGGCAATGTCAAGTTGCTAAAGAGAAAGGAGATTCCTTAAAAGGTTTTTTTTGTTTTGATAGGCCACTCACCTGAGCTTTGGTTTGTGGGCAGACTCATCTTCGTCGTCGTCCTCGTCTTCCTCGCTATCTGGATTTGCAGCGGGAACAAATTTTGGTTTTTTCACTTCAAAGCCGCGGAACTTGTGGCTGTCAAAAGTGGATTAAGTAAGTGATATGTTTTCGCTATCAGTCAAATTCACAAACACCTATTTCTGTTTATTTCTGATAAACAATCTTTTACTTGTTTACCTACAGGCGAGTTCTGGTTTTCAGTTTCAAATATTGAATTCTACTTCTCACCATAATTGGTATTCTCCAGCAAAGAATAAATATTGCTGGAGAATATAATAAAAAAAAAGCTTCCACATAAAACGTGGAAGTGGTTGTGAACATAAATCTAAAGTTTTTTAGCTTCTTAATATTTTTAGTTTAAAAGGTCTCTTTTCTGTACTCAGCTGTTTATTCGAATAATATAATCAAGACATGTTTCTATGATATTAACGGTGTTCAAACGGTGTAGAAACAATTATTTATTGGCCTTTAAAAGTTTCTGTGGTCAAAAACGATTTAGTGTACTTGCTATTACCTTTTTAGTGTAGGGATTTAAATATACTAACTTCCATAGCTCTAATCAAAAATTTAAATTGTTGAGACATTAAATTATAGAATTGATTATAGTTTTATACCCCACTATTACCAACGAAACCAGTTGGAATTTTAGAGTTCGACCAGTAATCTCTTTCAACCAAATTGTGTTCCGAGAAAATGAAATTTCATAAAATGACGATTTGTCAAAAACATCAGAGAGTACTCACATTTTGATTGGCGTTATGGGCATGGGCCGGATGGGCTTGAAGAGGCACAGGTCCATGAGGAGGCTGTCGGTGCTGGGATTGCGCTTCCGGGCTGCTGCTGATCGATGTAGGGCAGTGGGAGCGACCGTGTAAGTGCGCAGGAAAGCGGCTGTGGGTACCTGGCTGGCCTGGGGAAGAATCTGAGCCGATGGCACCTGGCTGGCCAGGACATAGTGGTGGCTCCTCGAGCTGGAGGAGCCCATAAGTCCGCCAGTGCCGCTCAGCTTGCGCTTGAGGCTGTGCTCCAGGAGCTTGGGCGCAGGAGCAGGAGCAGGAGCTGGGGCCACGGGCGTGGGCGCTGACATGACCAGGGCCTTCTGAACGGTGTCCTTGATGAACTCGGTGCCGCGATGGAGGCGTACGGACAGGGTCTTCATCAGCGCACTTGCTGCACTCGGACGGGAGACGGACGCAGTCGTGGGAGTGCCCACCCCGCTGGAGCTGGATCCGGCATTGCTGGCCAGCTTTCCGGCGTCGTAGGCCGGCAGACCGGCTGCAGCCAACAGCATCACGGGATCGGGATCGGGATGTGGCCGGACTACTCTCCTCAACTTCTCTGGTGGGCTGCACTGCCTCCAACGCCGGAAAGAGGTGCTAGCGCGTCAGCAATCGCCCTCACATCTACGCATCCATCTCGCCGGGGATTCCAGCTGAAGTTTTGGCCGAAAACTAGATTTCTTTTTGTTTTCCCCGTCGCCTCGCACACTCGTTCGTACTACTACTACACGCACTCGCCCACTAGTACAACCACGCACACACACGCCCGCACTCTCGCACACACACTACAGCTCCATTGTGTGCCGGTGGAAAGGACGAGCGACTGTTTATTGTCCTTGCAGGATCTCCTTGGGCCACCTGGCCTCCTTGCTGCTCGCTCGCTGGCTCGATCACCGGGTGCTTTCCTGTGTTTTCTCGGGGGGGTGGCGGCAATGGCCTTTTGCGAATTCTCTTGCCGTTTTACGATTTTACGCTTTTTTCATTCACAAGCAGCTGTGTTTCGATAGGAGTAGCCATCGATATATCGATAGGTGGAGCTGTATTTTAAAGTGTTACCAGAGAAACAAAATCGAAAGACATTTTTCCCCGATATTTTTGCTACTTTCGACATCAGTTAATATATGTTGCGATATTTTCCAAAATGTTTTTGCTTTTGCCCGCCAATTTTAAATTCAATAATTGGCGTGAAATTAGTGATGGAAATTTGTCTTTGAAAAGAATTGGGAAAATTCGACGTTATTTGTCAATAACGCTAAAAAAAGATCAAATAAGATAAAGTTCCCCAAACATGGATATCTATTATACTAGCTTACAAAGTCTATTAGGAGGACTCCCTGATTAAGAAAAAAAAAACTAGCATTAATATATGCTTAAATTATCTTTAAAAGCTTTGCTTGAAACGAAACCTATCCGGGATATGGATGTAACGGTATTGACTCAAGAATTTTGCCTTTGTGGAGGGCAGTGCCCATAGGCCCAGTTTTCTCTCATTGCCGAATCCCCTTAATGGACCCGCAACTCGCAATATAAATATCGATAACTTCGATGTCTTACCAGAGAAGAAAACAAAAATCACATCTCTATCACCAAAACGTAAACAAATGCAAAAATATTTTAAAACCCAGGTAAATGTTAAAGATTTGTGGATCCATCCATGACTCTAGCCATAGACCAACCATCCAACTTAGAATGCCCGTGGAATCAACGATTACTATCTTTTCAACTCTGCCATATTGACAGTTCACTCAAACATCCATTTTAATATTTTGTTATACCCTTGCACAGCTCATTTTAATTTCAGTCAGAAGTTTGCAACGCAGTGAGGGAGACATTTCCGACCCTATAAAGTATACATATATATTCTTGATCAGCATCACCAGGAGAGTCGATCTAGCCATGTCCGTCTGTCCGTTTTTACGCAATCCAGTCTCTCAGTTTTAAAGGTATCTGCTTGAAACTTTCTTAAAAGTTGTCTTTCTATTGCAGGTAGTATATACATACATATATATATATACATATGTACATATGTCGGAACGAGCCGGATCGGATGACTATATCATATAGCTGCCATAGAAACGATGGCAAAATGCAGCGCAAAATCGCCATAGCTTCATTGTTTTTAGTAATATAAAAATAGTAATTTTGTAGTAACTGGAAGGGGTATATAAACTTTGACTTGCCGAAGTTTGCTTCCTTCCTTGTTTAATTTTATTTTGAAAACCGTAATTAAATTAAATTAAGAATTATAAATATCGTTATAAAGGGAAAAGCTTATACGAAATACTTAGTCACGAATGTTATGTTCTGTTATAACCAGAGCTATTATTGACTGGACACCAATATTATGTATATACAGTAGTTTAGAACGCAATGGGTAAGGCTTGAATCGACTTGCTAGTAGTTGAAACCGATCATGGCGGGGGTCATGTTATAGTTTGGGCCTGTATGGCAGCTTCTGGCGGGGCAACCTCGATTTTTTTTGAAGTTATCATGGATGGCCAAGATGTACCTACAGATTCATAAGGAAAACCTGCTCTAAACTGCTGAAAAACTGGGCATACGCGATCGATTTCGATTTTACCAGGACAACGATCCGAAGCATTCAGCAGGAATTGTGGAGGTTTATCTTGTCTGGAACTGCCCTCATGCCGTCTTAACGCCAGCACAGTCTCCAGACTTAAATGTGATCAAAAATTTATGGGAAATATTGGACATCGCTATAAGGAAGAGGAAGATTTCGAACAAAAACGACATGTAAAGTGTTCTTATGGAAGAATGGCCAAAAATTCCAGTGGAAACCACTTAAAAGTTAGTTTCTTCCTTGGGAAATCGTCTTAAAGCTGTCCTGAACCAGAAATGAGGACATACCAAATATTAGCTTTTAAATTACAAATAATAAGTTAAGAAGAATGAACTGCACGAAATAAGCTGCGGCATGAAAAAAGCCTGCACATTTTGTTTTTATTTAATAACTATTTTGTTTTTACGATTAAGGAAATCGTTTTAATTTAATAAACAAGTTAATATTCCCTTTTAAAATACTGCATTTAAATTTTTCTGTTATCTTTCTTAGTTTAGCTGGAATAACGACTTGAACTTTTTTTAGGTAACTGCACGAAATAAGCTGCGATCCACTGTACATATTAATTTATCTTTATGTATGGAGGGATCATTTGATTTAATGCTTAAAGGATCTTACTTTTATGACCAAGACAATCGCCGAAAGCCGAACTTGTAATATTTTTAATTTAAAAGAAAAGGTAGTGAATTTTAATTCTTACTTGATATTCATAAAATATTAGTTTCTTTGGTAATGACATACCGGTTTTTGAATTCAAATTTCGCGATTCGCTTGAGAAGTCAAACGCAGTCGTTTTGATACAGTTTGCTTAAATTTTATTTCGGGCAAAAAAAACTACTGCGAAATCTCGCAGACTGATCATTTCTGTCTTATTAGGCAGTTTAAACTGCTGAATAGTGGTTCAGACGACTCCGAAGTGTTCATTTTGTCACCGAAGCAGCCAAGCCCGCCGGACGATTATTGACCGTTGATTCGGATAAAATCATAAAAAATAGTGGATCGTAATCGTCATTTGACTATTGAAAGCATCGTAGATGAACTCCAAACTAAGCACTGAAACCATTGGCATTTGAAGTCGAAAAATATGACAAAAAAACTAGATGTATGGGAGTCTCATGAATTGTCCCAAAATAACCTTTTGAACCGTGGCTTAATCCGCACTCATACCAAAATTAACCCTAAAACATTAAATGCGACCTATTTTTTCTTCCATGGCATCACACCATATATAACATGGTACATTTTTCTAAAATTAAAGGGGTTTCCCTTCTAAAATCTAAGCCCTAATAAAAAGGAAAACTTTTCTAAAAAATAGAACAAAATTTCTTAGAATAAGGGCATCTTTCCAAAAATGTTAGGGCTAATTATACCCTTGCAGAGGGTATTATAATTTTGGTCAAAAGTGTGCAACGCAGTGAAGGAGACATCTCCGACCCTATAAAGTATATATATTCTTGATCAGGATCACCTCCTGAGTTGATATAGCCATGTCCGTCTGTCCGTCTGTCTGTTTCTACGCAAAATAGTCTCTCAGTTTTAAAGCTATCGAGTTGAAACTTTGCACACACCCTTCTTTCCTTTGCACGCAGTATATATGTCGGAATCCTATAGCTATAGCTGCCATATAACTGATTGATCGGAAATGCCATAACTTTGGTGTTTGTAAAGTTAGGAAGTTGGGATTTTTTATGAGTATTAAGATTGCATCATATGAATAATTTTGGAGAATATAATTTAAAGAATATTCTGCAAGGGTATATCAACTTCGGCTCCGCCCGAAGTTAGCTTTTCTTTCTTGTTTTTTTTTTTAAATTAGAAAAATTAATAAAAAATGTGTCTAGATTTAATTTTTCCGCATGTGAATCTCTGCTGCACAATAATAAACTTGACTCATTTCTGGATCGGTTGTTCACTGGCGATGAAAGATGGATCAGATATGACAACACCAAGCGTAAAAGATCCTGGTCGCCTCAAATGGCGGCAGAGCCAGGATTGACGGGTAGGAAGGTTTTGTTGAGTGAATGATGGGATATCAGAGGAATTATCCATTATGACGTACTGCTCCATGGTTAAACCATCAATTCTGATATCTCTTGTCAACCTCTTTGTTAACAAGCTACGGTCCAGTCACAAGCTACGGGAGCTTGACTGGGAAGTTGGCAGTACATAATTGAACAAAACGGTACATATAGCACTTAAATCAGACAATGGTAACTATTTTAACATAATCGTCAAAAATCAATAAAGAAACCGGTATATTATTACCAATCAACATAATATTAGCAGTACAGGGAAAGAAATGGCAAATATTCGGCCAAAAAATGAACATTTTGGAAAAGTGTGCGAGAATTATCTAAATTGAAAAACGCCTTCGCAGAGTTTAAAAAATCAAATTAAGTTTAATTAAAAATAAAAGTAGGACATTTTAGTTCTTTCTTCATGTTCTTAAAGAATTATTTTATAAATAGTTTAAACCTATAAAACTTCGTAAGGAAAATTAAACATTTTCATGTTAACTAATTTTAATCTATCCATTAATGCTCGACAATAAATTTGTGATAAACAAATTCATAAAATATTATAGCTAGATTAGTGAAAGGCATCCGCTCAGGAAACAGTGAACTAATTTAATTTGCACAAACTATAAAAGCTAAATCGCTTTGAAGGCTGCCGCCGCATCTTAGTGCCCGTAAAAACCTAGTAAAAATGAAATTAAATTGCCAAACTGCTTTTCAGCTACTGTGCGCCATTTGCAGTTGCAATCGAAGATAAGAGCATCGCTCCGTATCGGGTTTATTAGCGAAATAATTGCAGCGGCGCATGCGGTGCTCAATTTGCGAGCCAAACTCGCATCGAACCCGCGACTTAATCCAAAAGGCATCTGCGAAATTTTCTGCTTTAAAGAGAGAGGGTGAAAAATGAAAAAAATGATCATACAAAAAGGTGTCCATTTATGGGATTGAGGGTTATAAGAGGATATTATTCAAAAGTTTTTGCCTATCAGCATTTTTATCTTAAAAATATACAGTAGATAATTAATAAAAAAAAAACAAAAATTTGTTTTCTTAAATTAATTTAATTTTGTACCTTTTCTTAATAATGTATAATATTTTATTCAATTCCACTTGGTTCTGATATATGGAAATATAAAATTAGCTTTTTAAGCGGCTTTATGTATATGTGGCCATATTTTTTTCAGTGTAATCGAGGGAGTTGGCGAGGATTGGACTGGGAATGGGAGTGGGCAAGGCACGCTTTTGTGGTCGGGCCACCCCCTACGGACTGGATGCGATCCTCCCCAGTGAGCCACTGCTGCTGTGACAGAAGTGTTTTTTGGCATGTCAAATGCCCGTCCTCCTCGTTCCCTTCCTTCGTTTAATAACATTATGAAAACGCGTGTTTTACAGCTCATTATGAGACGCAGCCT